TGGAAAGGTCCTTATAAAATAATTCAATTAAATGACAAACATAATGTAACTCTTCTCACAGGTTGTAAGCATGTGAAATACCATATTAATGAAATTAAACCAGCTCATCCCTAATTTCATTTTATTTCAGGGCCATAAGCCACCATTTCAACGCTGAAACTCAAATTCTACCTATTTACAATAGTCCAGGTATTTATTTTGATCAAATAACTACAATTAATTTTTATAACGATTTTTGGAATGTACAACATTACGCGTAGTTTCACTTATGCCACATCTAGACAATATACATTCACTTATAATCAAAACTGCAACGTTCTGCAAAAACTTGCAACTCCGTGGTTTCTTTGAATGTAATGATATAATAAGTCCTATTGAAGTATTATTAAATTCTAATTTTGCTAAAATCGAATCTTTGTTGCATATAGTTTTTACCGAGAAACAAACAAGGCAAAAACGAGCTTTAGAATTCGGTGGAGAAATTTTGAAATTCTTTTTTGGAACTCTAGATGCTGATGATGCACCAAAATACGATGCAGCCATTAGCACTTGTTAAAATAGCGAATCCGAACTTTTAAAACTAATGAAGGATAATATCCACATAATTCAATCTTCTATTAATGTTTTTAACTCGACTCTTTATAAACTAAATATGAATGAAAATAAATTAAATTCTCAAAAAAATTCTTTAAATATTGTGTTATCCCAAATTGTCAAAAACAATGATCAATTATCACATATCTCTAAAATACTTAATATAATAGACAGCTTTACTTAATATAATAGAAAGCTCTTTGGCCACTATTTCTATTTTCTTAGATAATGTACTAAACTCTACCTTATTTTCTAAGGCAAACATTCTACATCCTAGTTTGATAAGTCCTACAAACTTATTTCGCGAGCTATTAAAACAGATTAACTATGTAAATAAGCGACTAGATTTTCCAGTACCATTAACGGTTGAAAATATACATACTCTGATAGATATTTCAAAACTTCATTTTCAAATTTTCATATTACGCATACCACTGATTCTTCTCTAAAGTTCACTTTATACAAATGCATACCCTTACCAACTCCTCATAACCATAGTAATCCTAATTCTTTCGCCCTAATTCAACCCACCAAGCCTTATCTTGGAATAACAGAAGATACTGAGAGACTGAGTTATAGTTTGTTAGATAATTTAAATGATTGTATTATTATCAGTAATGATTATTCTATATGTCCTTTAATTTTTATATTTTCTACAATAAAGAATTCATCTTGTGAAACGAAATTGTTAACTGAAGTGACGTTATCCTTGCCATCTCAATGTAACTCTAAACTTTAATATGGACAAATCGATGTATGGTATAAAATAAATAATAGGAATCCTAGTTTATCTATGTACAATCTGAAAATTGTAAATTAACTATAAAATGTAATAATATAATACAAGATTTTACTATTTTAGGAACAGGTATCCTAAGTTAAATGAAAGCTGTATTGCTTTTTCCAAGACAATTCAATTATTACCATCTACAACTTAAACTATTAAAATTGAAAATAAAATGAATTTAAACTTTAATAATACGGAAGACGATTGTTGTAATAAAGAAGTTTTAAATAAATCGATTCCCTACTTATCTCCTATATCTTTAACTAGCCTAGACATGGACACTCTAAAATATTCTTATCATTCCTTAAATAACTTAGAAAGTGAGATCAATAAGGTTCAAGAACAATCTCACATTATTAAATATGGTAATTACTATTCATCGTTTACATACTTCCTGATTATTTGTACACTGTTTTTATATAGTTATTATATATATATATATATATATATATATATATCATTGTTCACTACATCTTATAAAAATTATACTAGTTCATAATGTCAATAAATAAGTTTTAATTAGTTTGTGAAGATAGTTTAAGAATAGTTTAATTTTACTATTTTTGTATTCAAATTATTTCTAATTTTCACTGTATTATTTGTAAGACTTATTTAAAAAAGGATGAGCTCCGTCAAAAGGGGGGAGATGTTATGTCCAACCCTAGTTAGTTAAAAGCGCTGAATCGATTATTTTATTTAGTATAAAAGCGTAGTGTGTGAGGTAATTGAGGCAGCTCCAACCCATATTAAGTGCATATCGCACACGCCGTTCGCGGCTTTTGTATATTTTTTGTACATAACATAATACATAAACACTCACGCCTGTCACCCAGAGGGGTAGGCAGAGACTACGGACTTCCATTTGGCGCGATCCTGACACACCTCTCTCGCCTCTTAGTAGTGTAGTTGTACCACTTCTAGACCACCTGAGTCAGACGTGGTTCAACGACGTTCGTCGACGCCCGATCCTAAAAAAAAAAAAAAAAAAAGGTTTTGGCATGCTCTGATCACGAATCCGCGGTCCATTTTTGTGTAGAATGCACGGTTCCAGAGATGTGTAGATCAATTAGCTAATATCTAATTGATATCCGGTAAGGGCCTCCACCGTCATTAGCGTCCCATTGTTGTTCCTATTTCTATTGTTCTATTGTTCCTTAATCACCTTCATTGCAGCGTGTGCGTCGACTATATCAGTGCTATTGTTTATTATAATTCTTTGTTTATACAACGCTAATCTGAATCATCAATAAAACACATTACATAATTTTGTTACAATTTTTATTTATAAAATACAAAATCTTATTAATTATTATCTATAAAATAGGAGCGAAACATCTCATCCACTAAAATATCGTTGTACAATGTGTTCCTTGTAAATATACTCGTAAAACTATGTATTGAACATCCTTGAAACTTATATAGTAAATACATTAAGCAATATTCGCCACAAACTGAAGTCCACTCATTCTGAATCCTATCAACATTCCAGTTCCATCTTTTACAATTCCTTTTTAAAAACTCTAGATGATATCGTACAGGTGATCGTCCATATGAATCAAAATATTGACCGACGTCATTCGTATCGATATATAAAGCTACCCAATGTGACCCTGGTTTATCATCTGTATCCAAATTACATATTATATACGTTGGTACGTGGGTATACATAGGCAGTCTATTAGCTGCATAAACATTATTTTCTAGACTGGGGTGAATCTTTTTCAGATGTTGTTGTACATCTAGTGTATCCATGATATTACTGCTATTAGTAGATTATTACAGTACCTAGCTACTCAATGAATAACATAGGAATGGTCAATTATAGTGATTTCTACATATTAAATTGCATTTTTGTGTTATACAAATCGTACTTGAGTCATTGATCACCAAACAAAACACAATACGAAGAAATGTTGAGATAGGCAACGGAAATGTGAGATAAACTGGTTGACGCATAAAGTAATTATCAACTCATTACGGAAATACTTTAGATTAGAATTTTTACGTACTGGTGGTATATAAGACCAACAAATGCAGTCATCGAGTTAGTGTACGGTCGTTTGGCTACAGTGGATCTATCAATAGTACATTTGTGTTACTTCAATACACCAAAGGCTATGGATGTAAGTGTTTATTCTATTGACTAAATTACTTTTTTTCTGTTATTTTCATGTGTGTGTATTATTTTATTTAAATATTGTGTATGTATATGATTAAGCCGTGGTAACTCAGATGGTTAGCGCTAGCTGTAAATTTCACAGTACGCGACCCGGGTTCGATCCCCGCCAGCACCAATTAAATTGTTAATAGCAATTTTAAGTGCTTATTACCACGTGCTTGGTGGTGAAGGAAAACATCGTGAGGAAACCTGCATGTCTGAGAAAATTTCGAAGGCATGTGAAGTTCGCCAACACACATTGAGGGAGCGCGGCGGACATTTCCTTGCTCTAAAACCCTCTCAGAAATGAGAGGAGGCCTATGTTCAGCAGTGGACTTTAATAGGCTGTAACTTTAACTTTTTTAACTTTTATGATTAAGTGTTAACAAATTGATATTAACATGATAACTGTGTTGTTGCAGAAATCATTGAGCTTCGATGAAGATACCTATAAACAGTATTACTACTCGCCACTCTCCCCTCAAGAAGAGAGTGATAACCTCGTCATTAATAATAACACATGCGATGGTGGAAAAAGAAAATCGCAATCGATTGATCATTTTTTTGAAGCTGAATCAAAAATAAAAAAGAGGAAGCTGTTATCGTCAACCGTAGCACGAGCCGCTAGAGATGGTGTATCATACATTTCTACTAATTCTGACGACGGAGACCAAGCGACGCATCTCATCAAAATTGAAATGTACGATATGAAGAAGCTATCCAAGATTCCAACTACTGATCATTGGAAACATGCTTCCACTAGAATTAAATATTACGTAAAGACTAATAAGGATAGCATCTACGACAACACAAACGCCCTCGTATACAATATAACAAAGACAATAGCAGAAAGTGAAAAAGTTAAAAAATACTTTTTTAACAATGACAGTCATTAGCTGATCATTAGTGAATGTGATTCTGTTTACTTCAATTACAGGAAGACAAGAGCGGAAGGAAGAGATGAGTGTGGCAATCGTGTACAAAACACATCATTGAATAACAAAACTACAACACTGAGTGGAGAAGAAAACGAGAAGAGTATGCAGTACTCAAGAGCTGAATATCCATTCTTCAATTCAAAATCTAGCCGTTTGCTTAGTTTCGAAAACTGGCCTCTAGTTATGCGACAGAAACCTGAAGATCTTGCCGAAGCTGGTTTCTTTTATACTGGCCATGCAGACGGGACCAAGTGTTTCCATTGTGGTGGTGGTTTAAAAGATTGGGAAGATGATGATGATCCTTGGCAGCAGCATGTTCAGTGGTTTAGTCAGTGTGCTTATGTAAAATTTCAACTCGAACAGTGTTTTGTATTAGATTAAATAGAAGATTTATAAAGAAATAAAAAAAATATATTGCATACAATTTGTTTTATTTAATTTTATAACGTTTCACATAGTTACATACACACAAAATGCATTACACATAACACATAAAATCTAACACACAACACATATTATAACCTTAACTACTATAGTCTACAGTAACATTTCTGTTTTTATCTATCTCAATAATATTATCAAACTCAGCATAAACTATACAGTTAATTGTTTGTATTAATGAGGATTCAAATCGTACTTCTATTCTTACACTACCATGCTTTATGAGATTCCAGTGAGTTGATGAGTTAGCTGATAAATCAGGAGTTAAGTCAAATGCTAATAGACAGTAACCTTTGCCATACTGTTCACAAGAGATTCCATTTCCTTCATTAAGAAAGTGAATACCAGTTCCCGAGAATAGAGTATGATATGCTGATGTAAATATGCTATTATTAAAAGATGGTTGCAAAGCTTTTGAAGGTATTTGTTGACCATCAATATATAAGCTGAAAGAATTAATACCATAGTTTTCAAAGTTAAATGGATTTTTAGTAAGGGAACCATTAAATGCAGAATTGTTCACAAATCCAATTATACATCTTTTCGGTACCTGTCCTAAAAATATATTATCAAGAGTTTTTCCTTGAACACCCGAAGGAATTGTTAAAACTTTTACTTCAGCTCGAGTAATAGGATATTTAGCAGTGGTAGAAGCTAAAACTTTTTGATGTGCGAGTAATACACTTGGATTAATTCGTGCTCGTCGCACAATAAGAGTTGCGTCCGTAATGCAAACTTTAAACTTTACATCGTTCGACCCAACAATTAAATTAAAACTCTCTCTTGATCGAACCAATTTAACACTCACTTCAACACCATTAATTAAAAATTTATCTTGGTTAAAAATGTCACCGTGAAGATGACCAATCATTTCTATTTCCTTACTTTCACTAATCAATTTCTGTCTTTTAACAAATCCTATGTTTTTACCATCTGTAGAATCCATTTTTCCTGCTGTATCCTCATACCAAAGACTACAAGTAAGATGAGATTGTTTAGCAGCAGGGGCATAGTTTAAAAGGGTTTCCATGTATGCTCGATATGCATAGGTATTATTAGGTGGTGATACAAGTTTTTGGTTTAAATAAACATCAAGTTGACTAAAAAGTGAATGCAGCCAATTATTTACAGGTGCTACTATTGTAGTATATACCAAGTTAGTTGAATCTTGATTTAATACTTTTGCCTTTATGTGGAGTAATGTATGAGACAAATCTATGTAGTCATCACCGGTCCCAGGAACTTGAAACTCGATAGGTCCATCATCACCAAGAGATGAAATTGGTTTATAATGAATCCACAATCCATTTTCAATGCTTGTTTGTGTAGACGGTAGTGCAAACAAATCCAATTCTGACTTAACGCACTCGCAAGAATGATTATGAAGGAAAGACATATTTAGTTTGAAAATATATCTTTGATATTTTTTGGTTTTAGACTAAGTTTTTTCGCAGCTTTCACTTTAGCAGTTAATGGTGGAATGAACGATGTCAATCGTTTTCTTTTAGTTTTATACCCAGATCCAGTCATGTTAAATTGATCAATTTTCTCATCAGCCTTTCGTTTTAAATTCGTACTAACTTGGTTTAGACGATCTTTTATTGAGGCTTCCATAGGACGGGCTTGAACCATATCCGATAAAAGTCCTACTCCAGCGCTTAATGCCTCCTTACCAATCACTCGAGCACCACTTGAAAGTAAAGGTAAAACTGATCTGAATAACCCCCCTAAGAAGCTCCCAATACCATGACCGCGTTGATATGGTGAACCCTTATAAATTACTCCAACTCCTGATCCAGCTTGATGTGTATAATAATTTTCATATGGACATTTATGATGATCACGAAGAGAATTCATTATTATAATTTTCGGAAATGTAGTTTAATACACACGGTTCCAAACTGGAATGGTATTTTTTGTCCTGTACTCGATCTTATAACTATTTCCAACGTATCGAACTCTCTTCGCATAACAGGTAAGTAGTGAGGTTGAGAGAAAACGTGCATTTTATTTGCACCATAAATGTATTTTGTAGGATCTAATGAAATGACTCTTAATAAAGGAGTCATAACATTACCCACAATCTGAGGATCGATAATATCGCAATATAGAAATAGTTGAGATGGTAACCCTAAGTGTAAATTAGCAGGACACTTTCCAAAATTTCTCTCTAGGAGATTTTTATTTGGTTCATAACCTAGCTGTAAACTTAATTTGGGTGATAATGTTACGGATGTTATATTTTTATCCAATACCGAAATAGACACAAATTTTGTTATTTCATCATAGCGAAATTTCAAGTTCTCTCCGATACCATTTAACACTCTTAAAATATGCTCAACGTTATCATAGTTGGTAGCTGGAATATGTTTTTTGTAGTACACTGTGGATGGCTTATCTTCATTAGGCATTAACATAGATTTTGTAATGTATATAACATTTTCATGGTCTTGAACAGTAAACATGGTACATGGATATTGAAACTCGACAACTCCAACCGACCATTCACCTTCTAATTTTATAGCTTTTGGTAATTTCGTTGAAAAATTTGTGGTCTTGTTATCAGGAAAGTATTCCATTGAACTATTGCTGAGCAAAGTTAAATAGAAACTTTCTTTATTCATATTTCTTTTAAACTAGAAGCTAAAATCCAACTGTTAAATTTATCTGGATAACCTTTCCACTTCACTAATACTTCTTTTCTGTTACCTGAATAACGAGTGTCAATTATTTTATCTATTTTATGTTGTGAGGTGGGGTTGTAAGTGATTTTCTGTAATTCTCTTTCATAAAAAGTACCAATTATTGGTTCATTTTGTAAATCTGTTATTGTATAAACAACCCATGGAGATCTATCAATTATTGAAGATATAATAAATATTTCATCACTCCAATTTGATTCATATCCTTTTTGGAATACATGTTTATATTTAGTTATTCGAACATAATCACCCACATTGAAATTTGGTTTAGGATTTTCTAAAGAAAGTTTTTTTGACCGTCTGTCATAAAGATTAGTCCAAACTGTCATAATATTGTTGGAATTTACATCACATGGGCACATCTTAATACTAGAGTGAAAGCTGTGATTATAAGAGTATATTAAATCTTGTAAAACATCTATATATCTATAAGTATTATTATGAGTGAAATAACGCCACATTTTCATTTTTAGTGTTCTTTGAAATCGTTCAACAATACTGGCCTTAATGTCAGGATTGTTAGTGGTATAGTAATTAATCTTTTTGGATTTAAAGTATTTTTGTACATCTTTTGAAACAAATTCGGTACCTTTATCGGATTGTATGTGAGTAGGTGTTAAATTACTTTCAGTAAATATACTTTCAAAACATTCTTTAGTTGTTTCTGAGTTTTTCTTTTTCATTGGTCTTGCAAAAGCATATTTACTAAATACATCAATAATACAAAGTATATACTTGAAACCATCATTATATTGAGAATAAGTTCGCATATCACTTAAATCAGCTTGCCACAGTTCATTAATATTTGATAGAATGTACCTATTACGCGGGAATTTTTTCCGAATGGGTTTATGTAATGTGTATGTTTCTTGTGATTTTAACCATTCCTTTACTTGCTTTTTATTCATTTTACCCTTCATGGCTTATGATAATTTATCAATACTACCAAAACCAGCGGGATTAGATGGATCATAATAAATCCTGTTAATTTCTTCTAGTACGGAGTCCATTTTTCCCACTCAAGTCCTTTACGTATTTTAGTTGTAGACTTTTTATCTCTACTGCACGGTGTAGAAAACTCTTGAACTTCAATCTCAGAGGGTTTGTTCAGATCTTTTGCTTGAAGTTGGTTAATAAACTCACATCTCCTTGGATTTCCAATATAAGTAAGTGGTACTTTAATATCTTTTAATGCTTCAGCAAATCTAACCCACCCTACCGGATCACTTCTTTTTAGGGGTCTTAGTGAATCATTTATTAAATCAACAATATTACTTCCAGGAATTTTTTCACTATCAATTATGACTGTACCTTCGTTATCCCAATGTATTTTACTTTTACTTGTTTCAACTAAGTTTAATAATAACTGCCCTTTTTTATGATAAGTTTTTGGTATTAAACTGAGTATTTGAGCTGGTGTGTAAAGTGGATTTTCATCATTTTCTTTACTTTTAATGGATCGATTCTCCTCCAGCAAAGATTCAATATCAACTGAAGTTTTTAGATCTCTATCTTTATTTTTAAAACCAATTTTTGACTCATTTGAATCTTCATTAGATGTATCAGAATAAATTGGTAATTTGAGTGGTTGACGATCCTCTTCGGTAAAATGAAGGTATCTTTGCAGTGTTTGTAAATATAATATCCATTTCTTTCGGTCTTCCGTCTTACTATTCATAATATTTTGCATTTCAATATCTAATCGAGATAAATTACTATTAACCTTATTTTCTTGTTTTAATTTTTCAATCAATCCAGGTTCGATAAGTATCATTTTCTTTGCATTTTCCATGTTAACTGGCTAGTCCACTCACTAATCCACTCAATATTGCACCTAATATTGTTGGTAAGAAAGCCCCTCCTTTTTGTATAATTATATTTTTTCTTAGTTTATGTTTACACTTACGTACTAGTTTACGGAGTATGTTTTTATGTTTATTCAATTTTTGTTTATCCTGATCTTTAAGAGGTACTTTTCCTTGTAAAACGTTATGAATACACTCACAAATACAGTTTATTTCTTCTTCATCACACGTTTTAAGTAATGCTCTTTGATATTTTGGTTTAAGCGTATGCAAAGCGGTTAGCAAATGTTTATACGTTGTGAGTCGACGATGCATCATTTAGCAATGATTTCAATTGTTTGATTCTTGGTGTATTTAAACTCTTTTGTGGGGACGTAGACTGTACAGAAACCATTAAATGGAAAGACATTTGTCTTGATACGACAAAAATCATTGGTATTCTGTTTTAAATCTACCATTAAATATCCATGTGCCTCTAGAGTTGCATCCCTGTAGGCATTTTCAATGAATTTTGGGTTATCTGGTGATACTTGTCTTGCTAAATAACTTATTTGAGTTTTATCTCGAGGGTTTTTAAAATATATTATATAACTTGAGTTTAAAGATATGTCTCTTTGTCCTTTACCCTGATGAAATAAATTTTGTGTTAGATAAAATACACTAAGATTCCTGTGATGACTACCTTTTGTAAATATATCCACAATTCTTCCATCGGACTCTCTCATTAGATCATCAATAATAACAAGATGTGGGTTTTCACCATCAAACATATTAAGATTTGAAATTCCTTGATGATAGTTAACATTTGGTAAATTATATAATGGTTGCATTTCATCAAAGCACCATGTGATCTGATTAAAATCACAATTACATATTTCTGTAACTGATTTTATGAAATTTGTTACAAAATTTGACTTCCCACACCCACTTGGTCCTGTCACAATAGCAGTGAACGGATGGATAAAGTGAAACATAACACACGTCTAAAATTCAAAGGGGTGAAATAAAAAATGAAAGTGTTGGTGTAAACAATTAATATATATTCCAAAAATTATATAAAACAGAATTATCTGTATACTATTTCTAACACAATTAGTACATCATAATTTTACAATTAACTCAACCTCAAATAAATAGAAACAACAATTAGTACATCATAATTTTACAATTAACTCAACCTCAAATAAATAGAAACAACAATTAGTACATCATAATTTTACAATTAACTCAACCTCAAATAAATAGAAACAACAATTAACTTAAATTATTTACAATAAAACAATGTTTAAATATGTAATAAACTACGTCATATTATAGTATTATCATAATTTTACAATCAATATAAATTTTTCTTAAACGCAGACATAAAAGTAAAAACTATCAACACTTAACGCAGTTTATAATGACCCCAAGCTAATGTTTCAATATTATTATCTAAAATATGTCTCTTTGTGTCATTATATGATAAACCTATCTTATTTAATTTTTGTGTGAAAATTGTGTGTTTAATTGATTTAAATCTAAGCATACTATAATATTGCACTTTTTTATTAAATAGAGAAGACTTATAACTATTCATTGTCATCTTTTTAGTGATACATTTATTTACCCCTTTTGCCTTGGCTATAGTCTTATTCTCTAAGTTAAAAGCGTACATTTTGGATCGTAAACCCACAAATTCTTTCATGATTTTACCATTATTTTCATCTTTAAAAAAACCTAATTTCTTTTTATTTAATTTTGGATATTCAAAAATATTATTTGTATCATAATCTGAGGTATCAAAGTATGATGAAAGGTCAGGTTTTATATCAGTGTAAAAATCATTTGTAAATATATGATATATTAAACTATCCGTATCTGTATACAATAATTTGATTTTACTAAAC